TGCTCGGCTGATTTTTGATTTATTGTAGAGATGAGGTCTCGCCAAGTTGCCAAGGCGGGTCTCGAACCCGCGGGCTCAGGCAATTCACTCACCTCAGCCTCCCAAAGACGCGGGATTACAGACTGAGCCACCGAGCCCGGCTACAAATTATTTTTTTAAAAAACATGATTTTACCATGTAGACAAAAGAGTTTTCAAATTTTATACTTAATATTGTTTTCAAAGTTTAATGTATGTCGTGTTTTTAGTTTGTTGTGAAATATGTAAATCTCAAAAGATGACCGAATGCTAGTAGTAGTAATCTTGACAGTCAGACTTCTCAGACAAAATGAGGGTATCATAAATCTACTTTATAACCAGCTTATTGTTTAGGCCAGTAGAGAGTTGGAATTTTATGTGTGTTTAATAAAGTTGACTGTTTTCTTTAACCTTAACAATTCATTGGTATATATTTTAGAAGGCCTGTCTGTCTACTCCAAAGAATTACTCTAAGTAGACTTTATTCCTTTGCCAGAAGAAAATTATGCAGTAGACCTTCTAATGAAGGAAACTTTTCTTATTTAAGTAAGAAATGTCTCTGGTAATTAGTTTAACTTTTGGTCCACATGTCTAAATAGACCATGGTGGTTTTTTCAGAACTTACATATACTTCTGGAAACACATGTTATATTAATTATAAAATGAAAAGAAAGCATTTACTGTAGAGAATACTGTTGTACTCAATTTGCTAATTGACAAACTGTGTGTATACCTGTGACTGGTGCCATCTCAGGACTTGTTGCCATTTTGTGAGAATTCTCAAAGAGCCACACTTTTATGTAACTGGCACTAAAAGGATTTATTTATGCATGGAGAACTTTATAAATAATTGTTTGTGTTTTTTAAGATAGGCAACAGCAAATACTTTTTAACAATTGAGCATTTACCCGTTTTTGTCTCACAAATAAACTTTCAGTGCATTTCCTCCTCTTGCCTCTGGGTGGCACACTTGTCTGCACGACTTGGCCCTGTGGGTCACTGGTCACAACGCAGCTCCAAGCTGACCCTCTGAGTGCTATGCTGTGTGTTGCATGGTCGTTTTCCAAAGAGCTTTGTTAAATCAGAGAGCACAAAAATGATTTTAGTAGTGATTGATATAGTGTTGAAGTAAGCTTTAAGATGTTAGATGTCTTTTTGAACATAATGGTGTTCTTAGTGGTTGATGATTTTTTTTATTTAAAAAACTGTCAACTAGGTGTCTTGCAAATTGCCCTCTGTTCTTTGATAATCATGTAAATAAGTGATTTTATCTAATTGATAGCAAATTTATTATATAAAATAGTATGTATATTTTAATAAAAATAACAGTAATAATACATATACCAAACAACAAACTTTCAAAGTGTAGTGCATTCTAAAACCACTGTTTTTAGTTTTTGTTTTTTTTTTTGAGTTGGAATCTCACTCTGCCACCCAGACTGGAGTGCAGTGGCTGTTTCCGGCCACCGCAGCCTCGACCCACTAGGCTCCGGTGATCCTTCCGCCTCAGCCTTCCAAGTAGCTGGAACTACAAGCGTGCGCTACCACACCCAGCTCATTTTTGATTTATTGTAGAGATGAGGTCTCGCCAAGTTGCCCAGGCAGGTCTTGAACCCGCGGGCTCAGGCAATCCACTCACCTCGGCCTCCCAAAGTGCTGGGATTACAGGCTGAGCCACCGAGCCTGACTTTGTTTTTAGTATTTTTAACCCATTTTATCAATCCTAATAACTTAATAATTTAATAGGTAACACAATGACCTTAGAAAGTAGTATTTCCCATAGTATGTATATAACATGGATTTGTGATTTATTAGTGTGATTAAAAACAAGATTTGAATGGCTTTATTTTTTTTCTTGACAATGAATTTTTCTTAAAAAATTGATCCTATTACCAGTTTGGAAAATGATTAGGATTCTAAATACTTTTGGAACAACTATGAATTATGAAGAACATTTTGGGTGATGTGTAGGCCTGCCCAACCTCCTGTGTAGTGGTCTCTGTCTGACTTCCTTCTGCTCAACAGCTCTGTGCCCGGGTGGGCTGGCGGAGACAGTTGAAGGGTGTCTGTTTCTCCAGCACCCACAGTGCTAGACTCTGTGCAGGGGACTGCATGATGTTGTCTCATTGGCTCCTCTCTGCAGTTCAGTTCAATAAATATCATGGGTCATTTTATAGAT